GAATATTAAATATACTTAAAATTCTGAACCTTTTTATATATTCCCCTTCTCCCATACACACGCCTGTGACACATACACATGTGCACATATTCTGAGTTTCAAAGTACTTTATTACAAATAATATAAAGGAGCTTTCAAGTGGATGAAGACTGTAAGAGGAATGGAATACTGAATTTTGAGAGTTCCTGTAAGAATGTGGTGCATATTCAGAACTGCAGTAAAAGGTAAAGAATGGTAAAACCTCACATCATTGTGCTGGAGGCAACTAGGTGAAGGTCCGGGCTTTGGGACCAGCCAGAGTTGGCTTTGAACCCCAGGCCTGATTCTAGCCTTACTATTTGAGTCTCTGCTTATTTTTCTATTTAGTGAGATTAACAGTTGCCACATAGCATTACAGTAATATTCTTTAAGTTACTGTCAAAAAGCAGATTTGCACATGGTAAAGTTACTACTTTGAAGTAGCTTATCAAAGAAAAAAACAAGGCCGGCGCCGCGGCTCACTAGACTAATCCTCCGCCTTGCGGCGCCAGCACACTGGGTTCTAGTCCCAGTCGGGGCGCCGGATTCTGTCCCGGTTGCCCCTCTTCCAGGCCAGCTCTCTGCTGTGGCCCGGGAGTGCAGTGGAGGATGGCCCAAGTGCTTGGGCCCTGCACCCCATGGGAGACCAGGAGAAGTACCTGGCTCCTGCCATCGGATCAGCGCGGTGCGCCGGCCGCGGCGGCCATTGGAGGGTGAACCAACGGCAAAGGAAGACCTTTCTCTCTGTCTCTCTCTCTCACTGTCCACTCTGCCTGCCAAAACAACAACAACAACAACAACAAATCACTCGACTTACTTCATCTTGGTAGTTGTCCTGGGAAGCAAGTGGCAGGCTTCTTTCCCTTACTCATAATGGACTCAGCAGCTTTGCTACTCTCGTACAGCTAATTTAGGCTCATGTAGCTAACTCAGAGACAGGTGTGGGGTTTTATCTTTGAACTTCATGAGGTCTATTAATTGCCATATAAAAATTAGCTAATTTTTAAAAAGCGACAATTGTAAAATAAAGCCCCCACAGCAGAATGCGGTTAGCACTGCTTGCCTGATTGGCTTCCACTGATACTATGTTGAAAGGAACTGAGGCTGGCGCCGCGGCTCAATAAGCTAATCCTCCGCCTACGGTGCCAGCACATGGGGTTCTAGCCCCAGTCGGGGCTCTGGATTCTGTCCCAGTTGCCCCTCTTCCAGGCCAGCTCTCTGCTGTGGCCCGGGAGTGCAGTGGAGGATGGCCCAAGTGCTTGGGCTCTGCACCCGCATGCGAGACCAGGAGAAGCACCTGGCTCCTGCCTTCGGATCAGCACGGTGCGCCAGTCGCAGCGCACTGGCCGCAGCGGCCATTAGAGGGTGAACCAATGGAAAAGGAAGACCTTTCTCTCTGTCTGTCTTTCTCACTGTCCACTCTGCCTGTCAAAAAAAGAAGGGAGGGAGGGAGGGAGGGAGGGAGGGAGGGAAGGAAGGAAGGAAGGAAGGAAGGAAGGAAGGAAGGAAATGAGACCTCTGCCTGTCCAGGACCTTCAGGGCCTGCAGAGTCTCGGGCCTTGACACATCCAGTTCACAGTGATCAGCAGGACAGCCTGAGTTGGTTCTGCCTGCTCCTGGCAGACTTGAGTGTCACTCTGCCTCTTGAAATACTGGGAGACTCAACCGGATTTAATCCCAGCCTTTCTAGGAGAACTAACCTTTCCAGGAAAACCACATTAAATGCACACACTGAGCCTAGGATGAACCCAGTTTCATGAGCATTATCATGTGACAGAACAGATCAATGCAGGAACTAAGCAATTTGAAGAACGCATCAGTGAGTGCTTTGTGACCTTGTATGTGTTGACTCTGTGGCAGTCTTCCCAAACCCTGTCTTCATGTCCCACAGAACTGTCAGGGTCTCTCAGTAAAGGGCCTGGGTGAAAGCCAGTTTAGGATTTGACCGGACCACAGCCTCTCAGCAGTTGAAGCGAGCATCTTTCTGTGCCATGACTTGTGAGGGTTCTCTGACTTTGTGGAAGTTTCAACACCCTGTATTGCAAACTTGTTCTTGTCTCATCCCTTACACAGTGATGTGACGTAAGAAATGAATGTGGAGTGCTGTATGCAGAGAGAAGGCAGTATATCAAAGAAATAAGTGAGGGGCCAGCACTGTGGCTTAGTGCATTAAGCCATCGCCTGCAATGCTAGCACGCCATGTGGGCACGGGATCAGGTCCTAACCTGCTCCACTTCCAATCCAGCTCCCTGCTAATGCGCCTGGGAAAGCAGCAGAGGATGGTCCAAGTGCTACACTCATGTGGGAGACCCAGATTCAGCTCCTGGCGTCAGCCAGAGTTGAAGCCATTTGGGGAGTGTACCAGCAGCCGATGGACGATTGATCTCTTTCTCTCTCTGTGTAACTCTGCCTTTCAAATAAGTAAATAAAATCTTCAAAAAAAAAAATAGAGATAATTGAATATTTTGTCAGTGTTTGCTGTCTGTTCCATCTAGAGCTGACTCGTAACCCCCTGCCCCAAGCGAGGTGTTTTAGGGAGCAGCTTACCTGCATTACCAAGTGAATCAGAGTAGAGATTTCAATTCGAGAATTGAGAATTGCCCATGAGCTCTTTTGCCTATTTTCATTCATTGATAAAATTCAAATATGTGACCTTTGCTGTATGATCAAGAAAGTCTTTTTGTGGTTGACTTATCTAGAATATTTCTTTCTTCCTCATTGGATTGAAAATAAACTCTGTCTAGTACCTATACTTGGGTATTGAAGTTTCAGCAATTACTCTTTCTATATAATAAGAGTTGAAAGTACAGGAATGAGTGAGGTGAAAACTTAATTGCATAAGGGAGACCTGTGAGGTGCAATTCAGAAGGTTCTTAATGACAGTATGTTTTTCTTTCTCGTTAGCTTTACCTTAACTGAATTATAGGAAATTCAGGTCAGAACTTGAATAATCACACTTCTTGGGTAAGGTTGTTCTTCCTCTGTAGAGGAGAATGTGGGAGGGATAGCCTATATTACTTGTTAGAGTTGGTATGATATGTATTTGAGGTTAATTTTAAACCTGTCTTTAAAGACATTGAATGAACAATTTGACAGCATTCTTTTGTGCTTTACGTTTTGATTTATCACTTTTGCATGTTTATAGAGCTCCCCGCCCCCAATCCTGTAGACAAACTGTGAAAAAAAAAAAAAAAGGCCTCTATGGCTGTGATTATGTAGGGTTTTGCTGTTGGGCATTTAAACGCAATTACTGCTGAATAGCCTTCTGCATAGAACACAACAGGAATCTACCTGTAATTGGGTTCATAAGTAACCTGTCCTTCATTTTTGAAGACCACGTCATTCTTGGAAACTTGGCTGTCTTTCCTTACTTGCTTCAGTTCTAGATAAGCAGCCTGCTTGGCCAGGGAGGGATTTGGCTCCCTTGGGAGAATGACTGTGCAACAGCCCATCTGTTTAGAGGGGCACCGTTGTGGGGTGTGTGTTTACAGTGGTGGGCTATATCGTTGTTACTATCTTGTCTTTGAGTGTCTGGCTATTAAGAATGGCAGGATGTTCATAAAATCTTTAATCAAGTGAAGATTCCTTGGGACGTTGGGAAGTAAAATGAAAACAGTAGCTAAAATAGAGATATTTCCCCTGGCTTTTTCCTTTCCCCTACTGCAGACAGAAACCCCTGGAAACCTTGGCTTGGCTTACAGGAGGCATAGAAAAACAGCTTCAGTACAGCTTGAGGACTGTGTTGTCGGGTGATGCCTGGAAAACCTGAGCTTATGGAAAAGACTTCAGTTGGGAGAAGGAGCATTTACAGTCTGACCAGACTTGGATGGAAGGACTGGGGAAGGCGATGCTTGTCAGCACCTTCATCTGCCCTCCGGGAAGACTTGGATGCTGCTTTTAATGTAAGAGTGAAGAGAGACAGTCAGTATGAGCTGTGGTTTCCAGCAGCACCTCTAAGTGTAGATTCACCATACTGAAAAAAGCTTGACGTGGCTGTTCTAAAATGTATTAAAGTTGTTTATATTTAGATATAAATATATATAATTGTTGTTTATATTTAGATATAAATATATATAAATATATAAAGATATATTTAGATAGAAGAATTTTGAAAAAGGACAAAGCAGAAGTAAGTAAGCAAGACCATCATAAGCCAAATGATAAACAGGTAGAACAGTAAACAAAACAGAGTCCAGAAGTAGGCCCATGCACATAGTCAACTGAAAGTTTATTTTATTTATCTTTTTGGACAAAGGTGCAAATGCACTGCAATGGAGAAAGGTTAGAATTTTTTTTTTTTAAGACTTGTTTGTTTATTTGAAAGTCAGAGTTACAAGAGAGAAGGAGAGGCAGAGAGAGGTCTTCCATCCACTGGTTCTTTCCCCAGTAGGCTGCAATGGCCGGAGCTGCACCAATCCGAAGCCAGGAGCCAGGAGCTTCTTCTGGGTCTCCCACGTGGGTGCAGGGACCCAAGCACTTGGGTCATCTTCTACTGCTTTCCCAGGCCATAGCCGAGAGCTGGATTGGAAGTGGAGCAGCCAGGACAGGAACTGGAGCCCATATGGGATGCCGGCACTGCAGGTGGCGGCTTTACTTGCTATATCACAGCTCCGGCCCCTGAAAGGTTAGACTTTTTAACAAATGGTGCTGGGGTAGTTGGACATTCATATGCAACAAAGAGCTTCAACTCATTATATATAAAAAATCTATCTATCTATCTATCTATCTATCTATCTATATCTATATATATCATAGATAAATTTAAAGTTTTAACATTTAAAAAATGTTCTAGGAGCACAAAGAAAGAAAATATGTTACACTACACCCTGTAAATAATGGATAATTATTGTTAATGAGATTTTTAATGAAAAAGATAAAATAAAGATAAATGACAGGGACAGTGTTGGGGCATACCTGCCTGCGATGCCTGGCATCCCATATCAGCACTGGTTTGAGTCCTGGCTGCTCCACTTCCGTTCCAGCTACCTGCTAATGCCCATGGAAAAGCAGCAGAAGTACTTGAGCCCCTGTATGCACGTGGAAGACCTGGAAGAAGCTCCTGGTTGCTGGATCCTGGCTTCATTTCAGCCCAGCCCTGGCCATTGCAACTGTTTGGAGAGTAAACCAACAGACAGAAGAACTCGCTTTCTTTGTGTGTCTCTGTCCTCTCTCTGACTCTGCCTTTCAAAAAAATAAAATAAGTCTTAAAAAAAATGACAAGTGATTAGGTGAAAATATTTGCATATAGTATGCCTGACAAACAGATTAAGTCCGAATACTATAAAGAACTCTCAGAACTCAACAGTAAGGGAGCAAGCATTTAGTCTAGTGGTTAAGAGACACTTGGCCCACATTGGAGTCCATGGGTTCAATTCCCAGCTCTGGCTCCTGACTCTAGCTTCCCACCCATGCAGACCCTGGAAGGCAGAGGTGATGGCTCTCAAGTAATTGTGTTTCTCTCACTCACATGGCAAGTGTGTTCCTGACTCCTGCACTAGTCTCCGTCTAGCCCTGGCTGTTGTGGGAATTTGGGGTACGAACCAGTGGATGGTTCTCAAATAAATAAATATATAATAATAATTTTAAAAATACTTTGTCACCAAGAAGATATGCAGATTGCAAGTTTATACTTGAGAAAATAATGAACATTAGTAGTGTTTAGAGAAATGCAAATTATACCCACTATTCAGTACTACTGCATAGCTATTAGAATGGCTAAAAACGAGCAGAAAAAGTATTTACTAATTTTATTCATTAAGTTCATATGATGTGCCAGGCATAGTTCTTAGTGCTTTAGATATATTAACTCATTTGATCTTTGCAATAATGCTGTAAGATAGCACCACTATCATTTAGAATTTTTGGATTTATGCACTGAGGCATGGATAAATTAAATTGGCTGCAGTCACATAGCTAAAAAATGGCAGAGCCAGGAAAAAACTATCACAGAATTACATAACACTGTGTTACTCTGCCATGTTCCACGGGTCACATGCTCTAGGTTTGTTAAATTAGTGGTGGTGATCATTCCCCAGAGCTGTGTTTTACACCTGGGCAGTAGAATGGGGGACAGTTTTCTTAAAGAAAATTCATACATATTCATATACATAAAATTTAGCTAATTTTCATAAAAATGCTGTCTTAATTTCTTTTTTTGATGCTGATTTTCACATCAGAACAGTAAGGTGACTGTCCTCAGAAAATGATGTGGGCAGGAACCCTGTACTAGTTGGGACCAGTGCAATGACGTGGTACTCGTCTTAGTCGTAGCAGGACCTCAAAGATACACCAGTCATTCGCTCTTGGGGGCTCTCAGTATCCCACCAACTCCTTTGGCTCCAAGAACCACGAGGCAGAGGAGGACTAACAGCCCAGGGGATAGCTTAAAGGGTCATGGTTGATTTTTGGTAATTAACTTCCTTTTTTGAAAAGGCGCCATAGATTTTTATCCTTAAGGCTTTTAGTTTCTCTGCATCTCACTGGGAGACAGTCCATGATAGTAGTGATGAAAGGTCAGGAGCTTTCTTGTCCTGTTTCCTCAACCACCAAAAAATCAAATATCTAAGTGTTGAGAATGGGAGTTTTCCACTTTTCATTTCTTATAAACTGAAGCCACTGTTGCTATAGCAATGATTTTCCACCTACATAAAATTTGTGTTTGAGATATTTTTTCTCAAACATGGTTTTTAAAAGTAAATGAATATGCATAGGCATCATGGCCCAAAAATATTTCTTTAGATGGTAGGAAATTGATTTGGTTTTAATAATTTCATGAGTGGAAATATAAAACTCAACTAAAATTCTGAATTGATTGACATGTATCATTTAATGGTGGAGTTTAAAGATTAAAATAACACATATACCAGTAATGGACATCTTATTCCAGCAACAAGAGCTTTTAATCACAACAGGCTCTTTTTTTTTTTTTTCTTAAAGATTTATTTATTTATTTGAAAGTCAGAGTTACACACAGAGGAGAGGCAGAGAGAGGAAAGGTGGGGGGGGTGGGGGAGGGAGGTCTTCCTTCTGCTGGCTCACTCCCTAATTGGCCGCCTCGGCCAGAGCTGTGCCAATCCGAAGCCAGGAACCAGGAGCTTCTTCCAGGCCTCCCACGTGGGTGCAGGGGCGCAAGGACATGGGCCATCTTCTGCTTCTTTCCCAGGTCTTTGCAGAGAGCTGGATTGGAAGTGGAGCAGCCGAGGCTCGAACCAGTGCCCATATGGGATGCCAGCACTGCAGGCAGTGGCTTTACCCACTATACCACAGTGCCGGCCTCATACAACAGGCTCTTAAATAAGTTTTTTTTTTTTTCTGCTAAACTACTCATTATCAGAAAATCACACTGAAAATTATGTTAATACTTTGAGTATATTCAGTATGTGTGTATTTTCCCAACTTCCTAATATATTGATGATTTGAAAATCAGGTATCCGTGGATATTGTCGTGTTGATAATCTTGTTATTTTATAATTTGAGTTTTTAAGATTTTATATATTTATTTTATTTGACAGGCAAAGAGAAACAGGAAAAGAGAGCTCCCGTTGCTAGTTTACTCCGTCAGATGCCTGCAATAGGTGTGGCTGGGCTGGACTGGGGCTGACCCCAGGGTTTGGGAACTACTCCAGTTCTCCCATGTGGGTGGCAGGGAACCCAGTTACTTGAGCCAAGCATCAAACCTGTGTACTCCAATTGGGATGTAAGCATGTCCCTACTTCTGAAGTTTGGTTTTCTAATCCATAATGACCAGATTGTTTTATTTTGTCCTATAAATGTTTCATGATCCCAAGAAAAGTTTTGCAACCTCTTGACTGTTGATGATATTTGTGCCCAGAAGCAGTTCTGGGGACCATTCTGCCAGGCTTTCATTTTATTCATTGAGGAGCTAGTACTTCCAGGGCTAGGGTGACACCTGGGTGAACCAGCGTACTGTAGCAGGGAAGGGCACCAGAATGAGATTGACCGGGACTCCTGGCCTTTGCCTGCTTGCTGCTGTGCCCTTACTAGGGTATCACTTGGATGTATTTTATTTATCCATGCTGTAGATTTATGCATATAAAAACAAATCTACATGGGGAGATCCCTGTTGGATTTGGACAGGAAGAAGTTCAAAAATTCTAAACAAACAACACAGGAAACCACAGGCAATCTTCAGAATTGTTTTGTAGTGAGAGATGTTTACTTGAATATGTAGCATTTTAAAATATTTGATTCCCAGTTAGAAAATAATGAGCAAGCTTATAGAGAATGTGGATAAAAGAAGAGTAAAAGACTTTAAAGGGGGTGGGGAGAGCGGCGCTGTGGCGTAGTGGGTAAAGCTGTCGCCTGCAGTGCCGGCATCCCATATGGGCACCGGTTCGAGTCCTAGCTGCTCCTCTTCCGATCCAGCTCTCTGCTGTGGCCTGGGAAAGCAGTAGAAAATGGCCCAAGTCCTTGGGCCCCTGCACCCACATGGGAGACCCGGAAGAAGCTCCTGGCTCCTGGCTCCTGGCTCCTGGCTTCGGATCGGTGTAGCTCCAGCTGTTGCAGCCATTCGGGGAGTGAACCAGTGGATGGAAGATCTTGCTCTCTCGCTCTCTGGCTCTCTGTTAACTCTAGACTTTCAAATAAATATAAAAAAAAAAAAAATCCAAAACCACATATGGTGGGGAAGGGGAAGCCAGCTGGAATGAAATGTCTTACTCACTGATTATATTGGCAAAGATTTAAACGTGATGATGCTACACATTGGTGAAGGCAGAGGGAAAGTGCTCTTTTGCTACTGGTGTGTATGTGTGAACTGATGAGAAAGGCCACATATAAGATGCTCATCCTCACTGGCCCATCAGGTGTATCCCTGCTGGTTTGTCTTATTAGTATTGATATTAGATTGAACTTTCATATCGTTTGTTAAGATGTACACAGATGTTTATACACGTGCACACATACATATGCATGGATGCATGCAAAAACTGAAGGTGGCCCATTTGTCTCAGTAATGAGCTAGTTATGTCAGCTGTGAAATACTAAAGTACAGGTAGCAGCAGAGTGTTATGTACTAGTGCCCAAGACATAAGTGAAAAAAGCAAGTTTTAAAACCAATTAAAATAACATCCATGTATGCTTTCCTATTTAAGAAATTTCATAGGACACAAGAGAAAATGTTAACAGTTACTTCAGAGTTTTTTGGATTTTGATGAGAAATATCCCTGATGGACAGAGGTTTTCCTTTTCACTTTAAATCCTCTGTACTTTATAGGGGAAAAGTTACACAGATAAAATATGTGTTATCTTTGCTTTAAAAATTTTTGCGGAACCGGCACTGTGGTGCAGCGAGTTAAAGCCTGAGCCTGCAGTGCCAGCATCCCATATGGATGCCAGTTCGTGTCCCGGCTGCTGCTCTTCTGATCCAGCTCTCTGCTAAGGCCTGGGAAAGCAGTAGAAGATGGCCCAAGTCCTTGGGCCCCTCCACCCATGAGGGAGACCTGGAAGAAGCTGCTGGCTCCTGGCATCGGATCGGCACAGCTCTGGCCGTTGCAGCCAGTTGGGGAGTGAAGCAGCAGATGGAAGACCTCTCTTTCTCTGGCTCTACTTCTCTCTGTAACGCCTCTTTCAAATAAATAAAATAATACTTAAAAAAAATTTTTTTGCAAAGTTATATTCATTGTTAAGAACCATTTTGCTTAGTAACCGTGACTAAGGACATTATTCCCTTATTATGAAATAATTTTTGAAATGTCTTCCCCTGATTTTTTTATGATTTAATTTTTCTTAAGGAAAAAGCAGGTTTAGTACTAAGATTAAGCTAAAGTATATTGAGGGTGGGTGCTTGGCACAGCAGTTAAGACTACTTGAAGCAGCTGCATCCCATATTGGAGTGCTGGGGTTCAAGTCCTGGCTCCACTTCTGATCCCAGCTTCCTGCAATGCATACTCTGGGAGGCAGTGGTGCTGGCTCAAGTAGAGGTCCATCACCCACATGGGAAACTTAGATTGAGTTCCCCACTCCTGCCTTGCTCTAGGCCCATCCCCAGCTGTCGTGGGCACAGGGAAGTGAACCAGAGGATGGGCGTGCTCTCTTTCATCCTCTCTTCATCTCTCTGCATCTCAAATGAATAAAATTTTTTAAATTTAATATTTTAAAGTATTTAGCATAGAGACCATGAAAGCAGTTATAAAAAGATTTATGAGTTAAGATTAAATAAACCATAATGCAATACAAAATAGTACTAGTGGGGGCCGGTCCTGTGGCGTAGCAGGTAGTCATTGCCTATGGTGCCAGCATTGCACATGGGTACCGATTTGAGTCCCGGCTGCTCCACTTCCGATCCAGCTCTCTGCTATGGCCTGAGAAAGCAGTGGAATATGGCCCAAGTCCTTGTGCCCCTGCACCTGCATCAGAGATCCAGAAGAAGCTCCTGGCTCCTTGCTTCGGATTAGCATAGCTCTGGCCGTTGTAGCCCTTTGGAGATGAAAGACTCTCCCCGCCCCCCACACCCACCCACTGCCTCTGCCTCTCTGTACCTCTGCCTTTCAAATAATAAAATAAATAAATCTTTTTTAAAAAGTACTAGTGGACATAGTAATACCTTTTGAGTGAAAGTGACTTCATCGTGGTGGAAATGAGGGTGCTTTGGATTGGCATCCACGTGGACACAACCAGTCACTGAAGAGCACCATGTTGTACCTCAGGAGAAGTTTTTATACTCATCTTTTTGTAATAATGGTTAAATGATGAGTAATAATGGACCTGGAGTTAATATGAACTCTGACATGCTCAAGTAATTTCCCTATTCAGAAGCACACAGTTGATTGTCTAGTAGTAGTAGTATTTCCCATCTTTATTTATTTATTGCTTTTTTTTATTTTATTTGAAAGAGAAACAGAGCTCCTATCTGCTGATTCACTCCCCCAAATACCCACAACAACTGAAGCTGGACCAAAGCCAAAGTTGGGGTCCTGGAACTCAATTCAGGTTTCCATATGGGCAGCAGAAATCCAGTTATCTGAACCCTCACTGCTGCTTCCAGGATCTCCATTGGTGGGAAGCTGGAGTCAGGAGCCAGAGCCGAACATCCAGCCGAGCACTGCCAAATGGAGCAGGTGTTTTAACTGCAAGGCGAAACCGCTGCCTTGACCTTCATTAATTTTCAGGGACTTAGCCAACACTGATGAAGAGCTTCCATGTGACTAATTGCATACCTTAGTGCGGTATCAACAGAGAGGTAAGTCCTAGCTTTCAAAGTGAGCAGACCATTCTCTCTGGCAGTTGGGGCTCTGATGTAGAGGTGCCACTGGGCTTGTCATGTGCCCCGAGTACATGTCAGGAGCCCTCACCCACAGCCAGCGGTCTCCTTCTCCTGTCCATCCAGGGCACAGCATTTCCACTGTGGCCTGTGACTGCTAGCAAACTAAGTGTTCATAAATGAGGGCAGTACAGAAATTTGTGTAATTTTTCACCCATATATTACATCTCATTCAGAATTGATTATTCCCCAGGTAAGTGCAGTCAAGATAGCTAAAAATATCAAGCTGACCCCATCACTGGTTAAAGACACTAGGGTGTCTAGGGATTATTGAACTTGAGGCCAGCATACTCATTTTGTAGAAAAGAAAGGAAGTCAGCCCCCAGAGAGGCAGGTGCAGCACGGTGGCAGTGGGGCATGCAGTAGAATGTCTGTCTACATATTTCAAAGAGGTAGTTCGTTTTATTCTTAATATTCATGATTAAAGTTACAAAGTTGATACAATGAATTAAAATATGGCGTAGAGGCAGGATGATGATAGTAACCCACTCACCTATTCAGTGGGAGAGTGTTCAGGGTTTTTCTTCTGGCTGATACAGGTCTATCCTAGGTGAAAAGTGATTGGACTGAGACCTGCCTCTGGGCTCCCCCTTTAGACTTTGTATGGTTTGCCTCATTGGGCATCAGTTTCCTCACTTCCACAAAGCAGTAGACGTGATGTGGTGTCTGAATCGCTTTCTTTAAGAAAAGAAAAGAAGTAGCATAATTATTTATAGTAGTGGTATGCTATTCTGTATGTTACTCTGTTGAGATCTAGAAATCCATGGTTTGGTTCCATTTGGGATAGAAACTAAATGCTTAGGATAAAGAAGGGAAGTCTTGCATTTGTGTTATTTTAATTGCAGACATGCATTGCCTCTCAGAAATTCTTAGGATTCATATGATTACTTTTTTTTTAGCAAGATGTTTAACTCCTTCACATTGGGAAATCAGTTTTTCACATTCAGGGTTTTTTTTAAATGTGAAACTGGCTGTTTTATATAATTGTTCTTGAATGCTTTTTCATTCCATTTTTTTTTAAAGATTTTATTTATTTATTTGAGAGGCAGAGTTACAGACAATGAGAGGAAGAGACAGAGAGAAAGGTCTTCCATCCACTGGTTCACTCCCCAAATGGCCACAATGGTTTGAGCTGTGCTGATCAGGAGCCAGGAGCTTCTTCCAGGTCTCCCATGTGGATGCAGGGGCCCAAGCACTTGGGCCTTCTACTGCTTTCCCAGGCCATCGCAGAGAGCTGAATTGGAAGAGGAGCAGCCAGGACTAGAACCAGCACCCATGTGGATTTCCAGCACTGCAGGCAAAGGATTAACCTCCTGCGCAATGGCATTGGCCCTTTTCATTCCATTTTTAATCCCATGCCCTACTTAGTGTTAGTGCATCCATTGAGCAGTATCATTTCTTTTTTTTTTTTTTTTTTTTTTTGACAGGCAGAGTGGATAGTGAGAGAGAGAGACAGAGAGAAAGGTCTTCCTTTGCTGTTGGTTCACCCTCCAATGGCTGCCGCAGCCAGCGTACCGCGCCCATCTGAAGGCAGGAGCCAGGTGCTTCTCCTGGTCTCCCATGGGGTACAGGGCCCAAGCACTTGGGCCATCCTCCACTGCACTCCCAGGCCACAGCAGAGAGCTGGCCTGGAAGAGGGGCAACCAGGACAGAATCCGGCGCCCCAACCGGGACTAGAACCCTGTGTGCCAGTGCCGCTAGGTGGAGGATTAGCCTATTGAGCCACGGCACCGGCCAAGCAGTATCATTTCTATCAGTTCATAGGATATTGAGCTCAATCTTTTAAGTTTATACATATAACCAAGGACTAGAAGGGAAACTGAACAACAATTGAAGCAAAGAGTGACGTGTTAGGTAAATATAAATTTTACCACATAGGTTTGTCCATAGCACATGGAGTGGGGAAAGGAGCTTGTTGTAGTAGACATTGGCAAATTAATTTTGGGTGGTTGAAAGCCTCTTATTTGTAAGAACTCAGAGTAATGACGTAACTGTGCGTGTGTTAAAGAGAAAAAAGTAATCAGAATGGAGAAAAATTAAAACCTGGTAAATTTATTTGACCATGTGGCGTTTATTTCAACACATTTGGGTTGGGTATGGGGCCCTCCCATCCCATACCCAGGGTTAGTATTTTACACAGGTTTTATGCAGAGGGTCAGAGTGCAGGAGGTCAGTGGTTTTTTTCAGAGCACAAAGGTGCCAGAGGTGGTAAGCACGTCGCCAACTGTCAGCTTTGAGATTTATTGTGTGTGTCTGCTGTTTGAGTCCAAAAGGGCTTAATAGCTGAATATAGATAGACTTTAAATCACCGCTGGGATTTAAATTTTCACTCTGAAAGTCTAGGTCATCTGACAGTAATCAAGGGCATTTTCATCCTCAGGACTGGTTTGCATGCCCAGCAGAAGGCTCTTCCACCAGCCCACGAGCCGGGCAGAGTGGCTGTCAGCACTGAGGCACGTGAGATCTGGGGTGCTCCACAGAAAAAAGATAATGAAACACAGGGGGATTCATGTTGCAGACTAATCCAGAAAGTGAGTTTTAAATTGCCAACAAGCAGATCTGGAACAACATTGTCAGATACCAAGGATAAAAGGCCTTTAGAATGTAATTTGTGTTATTATTTTGATGTGCTTGATGCAATTTTACACTTGAAAGTATGTTTTAGAACATACTGGACTGACCATTTGTGGAAAAAAATAAAAAAAGGTTGACAGTGATTGTTGTATTTATATTTCCAAAGACACATGCAGTATAATGCTGATTTAAAGTATTTATATATTAGTTAGGTGAGTTTTCAAATCAAATGACTGATTATAAAAGTAACTTGGGGCTGGCCCTGTGGCACCGTGGGCTAAGCCTCTGCCTGCAGTGCCAGCATCCTATATGGACACCAGTTCGTATCCCTGCTGTTCCTCTTCCAATTCAGCTCTCTGTTATGACCTGGGAGAGCAGTAGAAGATCGCCCAAGTCCTTACACCCCTGCATCCATGTGGGAGACCCAGAAGAAGCTCCTGGCTCCTGGCTTCGGATCGGCGCAGCTCGGACCATTGTGGCCATTTGGGGAGTGAACCAGCGGATGGAAGACCTCTCTCTCCGTGTCTCTCCCTCTCTCTGTAACACTACCTCTTAAATAAATAAATTAAATACTTTTTTTTTAAGATTTATTTATTTATTTGAAAGTCAGAGTTACACAGAGAGAGAAGGAGAGTCAAAGTGAGAGTGAGAAAGAAAAGTCTTCCATCTGCTGCTTCACTCCCCAGTTGGCCGCAATGGCCAGAGCTGCGCCGATCTGAAGGCAGGAGCCAGGAGCTTCTTCCAGGTCTCCCTCACGGGTGGAGGGGCCCAAGGACTTGGGTTGTCTTCCACTGCTTTCTCAGGCCATCACAGAGAACTGGATTGGAAGTGGAGCAGCCGGGACTCGAACCAGCACCCATATGGTATGCCAGCACTGCAGGCGGTAGCTTTACCTGCTACGCCATTGCACCAGCCCCTAAAAAAGTAACATGTATTTTTAAAACATGTGTCTATGGAATGCATTGTGTTCCTTTATATTCTGAAGCTGATTCTTCAGGCTCACCGAAGCCTGAAGGAACATTAGCAGCAAGATTCCATCGTGGGCTCAGTGGAGACCAACTGCCTCTGCTGGGCAGGCTTGGGATCTGTATTAAAGAACTCCTCACGGTGACAGTGGCAGTCAGAGTTCCCAGCCATGGGTCCAGAGTTTTGTATATTTCATGTACACAGGCAGATAGTTAAAAGGAGGCATAGAGGGGCTGGTGCTGTGGCGTATTAGGTTAAGTATCCACCTGCAGCGCCGGCATCCCGTGTGGGAACTCATTCAAGTCCTGGCTGCTCCACTTCCGATCCAGCTCCCTGCTGATCGCCTGGGAAAGCAGTAGAGGATGGCCCCCAAGTTCTAGGGCCCCTGAGCCTGCGTGGAAGACAAAAAAAAAGGGCTGGCACCGTGGCTCACTAGGCTAATCCTCCGCCTTGCAGCGCCAGCACACCGGGTTCTAGTCCCAGTCGGGGCGCCAGATTCTGTCCTGGTTGCCCCTCTTCCAGTCCAGCTCTCTGCTGTGGCCCGGGAGTGCAGTGGAGGATGGCCCAAGTGCTTGGGCCCTGCACCCCATGGGAGACCAGGAGAAGCACCTGGCTCCTGCCATCGGATCAGCACAGTGCACCGGCCGTGGCGGCCACTGGAGGGTGAACCAACAGCAAAAGGAGGATCTTTCTCTCTGTCTCTCTCTCTCTCACTATCCATTCTGCCTGCCAAAAAAAAAAAAAAAAAAAGAAAAAAAAGGCATTGAACCAATAAAATCCTCTTTTTATGTCATAAAATAATTTAAACTATTTAATAATCCAGAAAATGTTAAAGAGAAAGCTTGCTTCTGTAACCATATTTCACTATTTACTTGAAATGGCTTGAACTAGATATAAAGAAAATGGACATTTGAACTCCATAGAGCAGTTATTAGTATGAGTTAGAATGGCAGTAGACAACTTGAATTTAGCGCTGAGCTTGTTACAGAAGAATGTGATTAAATGAAGTAGAACGCTTAGCATCATGTTAACTTGTAGAGATAGTTGAAGTCTCTTGCGGAATGAAACACTGTAATGATGCAACATTGAAGTACTCTGAGACCCAACGTGCCTTTGCCGAGCCCCACAATCCAGGTCCAGGGCCCGGCATGCACTGCAAGCCAGTCGCTGACATCACAGCAGTGGAAGAAGACAGGAATTTTTGCAAAGTGCGGATTAAGGAGTATGGGCAGCTGTCGTTTATCTCACAAACTCCCCGAGGGATGAAGGGTAGGGACTCAGATAGACGGAAGTTGTGGTTGAGAGGTGTATGCTGAGCTCATGTGCAAGTCTCTGGGGGCCCCTCTCTGATTGCTCAGTGACAGGATAGCCATCACTTTCTTTGGGAAATTTTGATAATGGCTAAGTAGCCTCAGCTAGTCTAGGGGCTTCGTGCATGTACCAGTTGTATTGTTGACTGAGGGCCTTAAAAAAGAAAAATCCAAACCCCCCAAGACAGAGCCCGACATGAAGACGTTCTCTTTGGAGAAGGTAAATGACTACTTAGTCTTATAATCTGGAACCTTACTAGGCCCACCTGGACCTACTGCACCACTCCCTGTTTGGTGAGTCTTTAGTAAGGGGTTTATTTGCAATTACCAAAGCAGGACAAAGAACCTTTAGGCTAAGGGAGGGAGATGAGAGACTAGGGCCTAGAATATCCAAGGCGAAGGCCCTGGAGTAAGGACTCAGGGTCAGGACCACTTAATCAATCTAATAAAAGGCGGATGTGGCTACACTGGTAGTTATCTTGACAGGTAAAAAAAATTTTTAAAGAATGGATTAGTTCATTAATCTAACTCAGTTTAAGTAAGGTAATGTCACTGAAGTCCCGAGAGCAGTGTGGAAGTGTTGGTCATTTAACGATAGCCAGGGCAAGTGTGTGTGGTTTGTGCTACACTGGCTGGGAGAGGAGTGGTGAACAAGCAGCAGTTTCTGCTGACTGATCCTCACTCACTCCACTTCAGCTCCTGCCGGCAGCTTCATCAAAACTAAAAGTGAGGGTTCTGTGTTTTTTGGGTCTGATGATTGATTACTGCTGTACAGCCCGTGTGCCCAGACAGCCTGTCTTTGTGTAGGGGGACAAGACATTTGCCTGTAAAAACAGTGATGGTTGTATTGACCATCTCATTGTGGTTGCTGCTTATCTTTTCCTCTGCACTCACAGGCAGAGGGGCCAGAATAGAGGGACTGCGGATCTGGCCAGTCAGCTGTTTATGCAGCATGTAAATAAGTGGGTGCGGTAAATCCGGCATAAGAAAATGCGTTAAGAGGGGTGGGGGTTGGTTCAGAGGGAGAAGAGGAAGATGCTGAAAGGGCAGATGGCTGGTTCAGGGAGGTCTCCCACACTCGTACCCTGGTTGGGAGCTGCCATCCGTGGGATGAGTTAGGAGGCCCAGCCTTCTGGAAGAAGGGAAAGGATGACTAGACAGATCATCTGCGATCAGCCTAGTAGACTAAGATTGAGGGGGCTGCAGTAAATGTAGAGCCTCTCTCACAGCTTCAAGTTCTAATCCACTAAACTGTTGAAACAACCCTAGGAGGAGGAATAGTGTTATTTTCCCGTTCTTCAGGTAAGAAAACATGGGCCAGAGGCATGAAGTAGTTGCTGTAGATCTCTAAGCAAGGAAGTGGCAGAGCTGGGATATGAACCCAGGATATCTAACCTGAAAGTCTGGGCTGTGTTTAAAACGGCATTGATACCCGGCCCCCTCAGCTTGAGTCCTGGGTCAGATGCCGAGTGAGGCTGGACAAGGCAAAGACTCCTGAGTTTACAAGCAGAGTTCTGCAGTGCTTTGTGGCTGGAGTGCTACTTTTAAGGGGTCGTTGTGATTTTTGATAGATGCACGCAACAGGCAAGTGTCATAGAGCAAGAGAAGACATGGGAGTGAGGCAGTGGCAGAATGTTGGGGGGCTGAAAAGTACCTTTGGGGGGTTTTGTGGCATGTGTGAAACAGTGGTGAAAGAGGGAAAGGTGAGACTGCGTTCCTTAAAGGAGTTTGGGGTTCACCTGATTACATAGTGAGAAGCCACTGAAAGTTTTCTGATGGGTCTTTACATGACTGGAACTGAAACAGTGCAAGATCGGTGTAAGATACAGTCATCCATAGATGGGTTAAATGGGGGAAAAGATGAAAATTTTAAATAACAGTGCCTGGAAAGTGGGGGTGGGGACGCGAGTGGAACTCGGAGGTCACCCGTGTCATGTTTGCACATTGAAGGCACTCATGTGGGAGTGGGCGTGTTATGGCCATCACATGGGCGGGTCCCTGGGGGAAGTTTAGCTGTGGCTGTGTGTCCTGGGGCAGGCTAACATCTCAGCTTCCTTCTGGGTGAAATAGGATTAATAATAGTACCAGCCCCAGCAGTATGGGGATTCAGTGAGTTGAGCTCCATGTATTCATTTTCTGTTGCTGCTGTGAAAATTACCAGACTTCACGACTGAAGGCAACACGGGTCTATTGTCTTACAGTTGTGTAGGTCAGAAGCCCCACCCACATGTCGCTGGGCTAAAATCAGTGTCAGCAGGGCTTTGTCCTCCCAGAGGCTCAGGGCAGGGTCTGCTTCCTCGCTTTCTCCAGCTTCTGGAAGTCGCCCGAGTCCTGATTGGTGGGCTCCTTTCTTCATCTCCAGAGCCAGCAGCTGTGTGTTTGCCAGGTCCTTTCATAGCCACAGCTCCTAACTCCTTCCTCAACTCAGAATGACCCTTGTGATGACCTGGGACCACCCAGGTAATCCCCATCTCATCCCCGCCTGCAGAGTCCCTTTAGCCAACCATGTAGGGTAAGAGGTTCA